CAGTTGATAATCTTGGATGACGTCCCTGCAATGTGATGGTGGGATGGGAATCGGATGAGAAACTCGAAACATGGAGAGCAAGAGGCCATGTGCCTCAATTTAAAACTAATGAGAACTCCATCAACTAACGATTTAGGATTAAATCACCCGGTCATAACCATTCTATGTTAGCGGGTACCTGAGGGTAAATTTCTGGCACAAAATCATGAGACCAACCACTCTCTGATTGGTCATCTGATGGCTCCAGAACATCAAAGAACTCATCAGCAGCATCGTTTAGGCTGACAAGGCTAGCATGCTCTGAAGGTGCCTTACCTGATCCATCACTCATCTCTTCCACTGTCCTACCATCCTTTAACGATTCCACAAGTCTATCGTCATGCAACATAACATTTCTTGTCAGCTCTCCTGATGAAAAGTTTGAGGAAAAATTCCCCGTTTTTGCTTGAAACAACTCTCTTAGTGCTGCAAAAAACATAAGCTAGTTGCTTTCAGTTAACGTTGGAAGAGTCTATAGTGAAGCAATCTTATTAGATATAACTAATTATGCACAGATCAGATTCACCAGCAACTCTGCCAAGCATTTTGATTGTTATACACCGGCCTGAAGAAGTTCGTATGTAAGATTTCCAATATTTCCAATCAATAGCAAGCATGTGTTTTACTACTGATTGTTCCCCTCGGTTCACAGGAGTGATGACATATCCTCCACCTACAGACAGAAAAATTCCACTCCCTCAGAAATTGTGTGCTTCGCAGCACCCAAAGTATGATCATGCAGGTTCACCACCCAAACAAGTAATTATAGTCATGTTTGTAAACAGAGATTCAGATGAACACGTTTTTTTGCCATTGTTTCCCTGCAACTTTTTGTCTAGGGAATGAAATATCAGGGCCGATATAGCAATGGAACTCAATAAGGTGCATACATTAAATTAGATTCAAGCATACATTACTTTTTAGGCACGCTTGGACAAGGCCTTTCTGTGGGGGGCACTTCTTGTGGAACACTGAATGATAGAGAATAACTGCAAAGTAATAGGCCAAAGATGTCACCTCATATTTTACTGGATTCAGTAAAAGATGTAACCCGTAAGTAATATCCAATAGAGTGCATACCATATGTTCCATCATCTTCTCTTCTCCAATATCGACGCAACAACAGATCTCTACATTTCATTCCCCTGAATGTATGACACATAAATGAGAGAGCCACAAATGAAGAAAGCTGCCTTTGGGAAAAATTGTGATTGCTTAATTTTTCAACTGACCAAGGTAGCCAATCGCTATACAGCTGCTTGTGAATAATATCAGTGTGACCATCGAGATGCTCAACCACCCTTCCCTTATAGAAACAGAAGTCCCATCTGTTGAATTGGAGATTTCATAGACAAGCAAAATTTAGAACAACGTGTATAATCGGAGGAAGACACAGCATTCTTCCAAATCTCCATATAAGCCAAATTCGAAGATCATATTAAAATGGTATTGAAGCCTATAGGTCATCTAACTTGCAGATGGAAAATATCTGACAAAGAGGACCTACTCTGATCTTGATGGACCAAGAGACATGAGTGTTTGAAAAATGGCTTCTGATGTGCCATCAATCACACCGACAGCCATTACTGCAGGATGGTCATCCCACTGCGGAGGAGAAAAAGTTGCAAGTTGCTTGCTCAGCAATCAATCAGTTCATTGAAATCAGCAAGTGAGAGAAAAGAACAGCTAACTAACCTTCCCATGGGAATCCCGGTCTTTTGCTTCTTTAAAAAGTCGCAAACCTGCATAGATTTATGCCTTAGGAAATAGAGCGAGCTAGATCAAGAGTATGCTAGGAAGTACATATTACCATTCTGGCAACCAAAGATTGTCCATGGTGAAGGGGCAACAACATCTGATGCGACTATATCTGTCTGATTGGATGTACCAAGAGTCCAGTCTACCGGAATAACATGACTTACTCTGTTGGAACCACTTAATCTACAGACATAAACAAATTATTAGTAACCAAAATAAGAATTGGGGCATAATCTCAACATACAACATCAGCTATAGTTTGTCTTATCAACAGCATATAGAAAACAAACACGCCAATAATAAACCAAGTGCTTCAGTGTATATAACGTATAACTCTTCACACCTTAATGATTGCCAGCTCATTGTTGAGCAGTCCAGAGCACTAGCACCAGGATCTGGACCACCCTAGAGAGAAAATAAAGCATTAGTCTGGAGTCCAAATAAGGCATGTCTTGCCCACTAATGCTAGAAATTTAAACCTTAATAGCTGCTTCCTGGAAGGCATGAATCCATCTCGCCGCTTCTTCAGGGCTATATGCTCCCAGCTATTTGGTATAGTAGCTTAAGTTAAAAGATGAGAAATTCGACCAAAATCTTTAAATGGCAGTCACATTTACTCTTGTACCTTGAGTTGGTCATTGTGATTTGATGCATTATAAAGTGTAAATATGAAGAACACCTGTTAGCACAAAGAGCTTTTTATAAGTAACTGCAGTTAATGGATAAAAACATTAGTTGATTGACTTCTGGTGGAAAGAAATAAATAAATGACCATACTTTTCTATGAATGCTTTCTCTTCCATTGTCAATGACTCGGATACAGGAATCAATAATCGCACTTCTCACAGAAGCCTGAGATAAAAATGAAGCAAATGATTAAGTGTTCTGAGAACCAGTGATATTTGCAGATACGTATCGCTACCATGTTTTAGGACCCAATTATAGAGGGATGAAATGCTTATTTTAAGACAGAATATGAAGTTATAGTTAGAGCTGGTTCCATTAGAAAAAAAGATAACGCACAAGATTTTCTTAAACACATCCTAGTACTGGGATTGAATCAACTGGCCCAGAAATGCTCCTCATATTCACCAGGTTCCTACCTCAATTAGAGGCATTGACCAATATTGATTCCATGCCTAAATCAGATCAATATCCAGAAACTTCCCTATATCAGATAGCTATGCATACAATGTGACTAAGCCTTCATGTCCCATTCACATTAACATACATTGTAATTGACAAAACACTACCAAGACTTAAGAACTCATGCTGTCTGACGGCAGCAATTATTTAACCCTGTGAATCTGATTTTGAGCAAACCAAAGGCATCACATCTTTATCAAATCGCACAGGCTCCAGCATAATCCATTTATTATCCACTGTCAGCATCCAAAATTTAGATGTTCTTTTTACAAAAAAATTTAGTAAACAGGACTTGAATACTCATCCAACATCAGAAGCAAGCGACAACCGGAGACCATCTTCACATATTTCTCAGAGAATGTCTTGTGCAACACAGTTAGTGGGGCAATTTATCCGAAAGATAGGCAAACAACTGAATTACCGAGATTGTTGTTAATCTATGTCAAACATCACATCAACTTTCTCATGCATGGAGTGGGAATTAGTAAAATACCAGCACATCATAATCAATTAAGGTAGTGAGAACCAAGAACATGGCCAAAAGCTGGGCACATGCAGTGTGCGCTCCATTACCGAATCGACCCTTAATGGATAAAGTGTAAGCAGAGGGCGAGAACGACCAAATACAGCATCAAATCTCAAGAGACCAGTATATATCGATGCAACTAAGGATTCACCATTTGACAGACACTAGAAATTTGAAAACCCATACAGTAAAAAAATTAAATCCCAGTTTAGCACCCCGATTGTGTGGCGGAATAACGTCTAGACAGAGCCACCAGACAACGTAATGCGACATTAAACAGAAAAAAAAACCCATCTCCACTCGTCAATATCTGCGCGTAGGGAGGTTGATCCCCTCAAAAAACTGGACGACAAGCTCGCTCTCACTCGTTTTCTCCACATTTCGACTCGTGACTTCAAAAACGAATCAATAGAAACAACGGCAACCCATTAGATCCGCTTGGCATATTAGTTCCTCCACCGTAAGCAGCACCTTCGTCTCAGGCAAACAAAACTTCGAAGAACTCAAAAACATGCAAACTACACGGTACGAAGAAGAAGAAGAAGAAGATGAAGGGACCTCATCTACAGAAGAAGGAGCAGATTTGAAGCACTTGAGGCAGTGATCGTCGAGGACGAAGTAGCGCTTCCTGGAGAACTGAAGGCCGAGCCGGTTGGAGCGGATCAGGTACAACCAACCCTCCATTCGATCCGACCCAGAAAACCGCTCGGACTACTCCGACGAACCCACCACCACCCAGAATCCGTCTCGCAACTCCCCCTCCGCTCTCCCACCCACCACAAGCGGCACGCGCGGGGTGGGGCTCGAAAGCGGAAACGGAAGCGCGAGACAAGGGCCCCCCCCCCGGAGAATCGGAAAACTGGGTGCTCTCGTCTCGTCCTTCCTCCGGAGACGACGATGGTCGATGCTGGCGATGCTGATGGTGATGACGGCGCCACCTCCGAGGAATCGCGAGCGAGCGAAGAAAAGATGGCAAATCCAAAATAAAGTTGCTCGCTTTCTTTCAGTTAAAGTTAACTGATTTTGGTGCATACGTCGGGCCAAGATTGGAGGGAGATTAGTAAAAGCGTTGCCTCGTCATTTTCTCCGTCATATGTGACTGCTAACGGGCCCCACCGTCGGGCCCACACGATGAACGGCGGAGATGCGCTTGGCGTACAATATGTATCGACCAATATTTTTTCATATAACGTGCACCTTTCAATGACTTACCAACAATATGTCTATTTCCCCTCCTCTTTAAGTTAGAATACCGAGTTTTAAATAAAAATCACAGCCTAATAATTTGAAAAAAGAATACTAAATTAGAATTGAAATTTTCACCAATGACGCGAAATTCATCTATGCGTTGGTAATTTTCAATTTACTAATGCACGCCCCCGTTTATTAATTATGAATATTTATCAATTCATTATATGTGTCAGAGATACAACTTCTTTAGATTGAAAACTTATTATCTAAGGTAATAAGCCAAATCGCAACCGTTCAGAATTAAGATACCATCGCATAAAATAGGAGAGTGACCCTGAAATGTGGGAAAGAATATTATTGCACTTTGATAAGATCCATTTACACTCGAAATTAAGTCTTAGGAGGAGGGGAAAGAGGAAAGGAACCCCATGAAAAGCCAAAAAAATCCATTCAGCTCTCTGCTGAATCTCAGACAAAGGAGTCTCTGCTTGATTTCTTGGCATCTTGACTTTCTTTATCTTGATAGCCCAAGCCGCCCTTCCCATCAAGAAGCGGTTCAGTATCCTTCTCTTTAATCTGACAAACATACCAAAAGAGGGACGTATGAAAAAGCCTACTCACTGCATATTCTCAAGACTCGTGTACATAAACATGTTGGGGTGGGGGAGGGAGAGAGAGGGGGAGAGGGAGGGAGGGACCTGAGAAATGGAGAGATCTGTTGACTGCTTCTTCTTGTTATCTTGGGTGCAGAAGAAAGAGTACAATCCCATCCCAAGCATGGCAACGAGGATGCCGATGATGTTCCTCTCTGTGAAAGGGTCGTGCAACAATGTGTAGCCAAAGCCAAGGACCAGGCATGTCTTGAGGTGGCCCAGCACTTGGTAAGTCACAGGAGATGTCTTCCCAATCACCAAGAATGTGCTGAAGTTCACTGACACTGCTATCAGGCAGGAAAGAATGATGAAACCCTGCAACATGTTCATTCACAATACAATTACATGATGATTTTTGCTCGATTTGGGCCAAAAAGGGTCCGCATAATGGTAAAAGCGATATTGAAGCAAGTGGGTCTAAAACTCAGGATCGCGTGATCATTTCATTTTGGGTGAACCATGACAAACCAGACGAAAAGTGGAATGGATGTGTTACTTACCAAGACTATGGGAGAGTACTTATAAGCAAAGACATTTTGCTTGGTGAGGCATTGATCCACTAGAGGGCCTGAGACAAAGAGAATGGCTGCTTGGAAAGGTGCTGACTGGTACAACAGCTGCGTGGAGGAGACGTTGAGCTTCTTCTGTATGGTGTTTGTCAACTGAAGAGAGGAAAATTGTTAAGGGTTAAACTTCATATCCATCTCCATAAGGGAAAAGGCGTTTCACAAAAATCAGATGGTAATTTGTGTGGATGTGGAAGCTCAAAGTGTACTCATGTATGCTTGGAGTTTTCTCGAGAAGGGCATCCAAATCAATCCACATTCGTTTAGTATAAGACATCACTGACTATACTTCCATGAATTCAGGTGCATCTTGCTAGAAAGATAAAAATTTCTAGAAAGAGGAAGCATACAATTTGGCCGATGCAGGTCGTGACGATGGCCAGACCAGAGAGCACTGTCCCCACAAAATTGAGTTGGAGATCGGTCACGGAGGCAATGCCCACCCCAAAAATCAAGACAAATAGAGAGAATTTTATTTTCTGGCTGCAAGAACATAATATGTTGTCTCAGAAAATAGCTAGAAGAAAAAAGGAAACCGTGTTCAAGCAACTGGATCTTAGGGTATGTTACCTGAACTGCTTTTTGAGGAAAAGAGTTTCCAGGAGTACAGTGAACGGTATTATCGCCAGTTTTGTCATCTGCCAAAATAAGAAACCAGAAGTGAATCAGGAGACAATTTGAATATTTAACTAAGATTGTACAAATGTTCTCAGTTGTAAATGCTTCTATTGTTAAACAACAGGGTATAGGAACCTGGTAGAATCCGACGGAGTTGAAACCGAGGCTCAAGTTTAGAAGGCCGATCGAAATGCCATTCAAAATGCCAAACAGCATGACGGTCTTCAAGTCAATCGCCTTTGTTTCGAAGAAGTTCAAACGTTGAGCCGCATGTAGTGTGCAAAATGTTACCATCAGGTGCCAACTGGTGAGAGTTGTGGCTGCATTCATCCAAAGAAAAGGAGGGAATTTTACCTCGTGTTTTTTTTTTTTTTTTTTTGGTAAAGAATTTTACCTCGTGTTCATGCTTGAAAACTAAGAAAAAATCGACCATCAGAATCTACTCGAACGAGAGTTTCATTTACCGAAAGGGAAGCCGAGATTGCTCATTAGAGCCTTGTTGCAGATGACTATGGACACAGATGATGCCACTGAGAGAAAGAGAGCACCAACCACACCCAACTGGAAGCCTGTCATCTCCCCCATGCTGCGATATTTTCTGACAGACAAACCAAGGTTAACACGAAAATCTCTTTCAAAATGAAACTTGTCTCAGAGGATAAATCACATAATGCATAGCTGGTGAGTCCTTTTTAATGTCTCCTGGGAGTTGGGATTAAGAAAAGACAATATTGTAATTTCTTGAATGTCAGAAGTTTTCTATTGGCTATAGACAAATAAAGATGAGAAGGTCAACTAGTCAAAATATCATTTGATAATGTTGCACTCGGGGTTCATTCATCCTGCTAACCACCATTAATTAGCATAGAAGATTAATTTTATTGTTTTCTAGGTGACCATTCGATCTCACGCGTTTTTTCAATGTTAAGGTTTAAACAACTCTCACAATATGTTTCTTGAATAGGTGGTTTGGCTGTAATGTCAAAGAAAATGTCATGTCATTCCAACCAATCTTTCCAGCCAGAATACATTGGTTCCTATAGGTCTCACAAATAAAAAATGAACTCATAACCGAAAAAAATCAAATTCCCAATAAACTGAAGAGTGATTCGATATTATTCCAGTACGCCGACACAAAAGGGACATGAAAATCATATATTGCAAGTTACATAAAAAATATTCATTGGACATGAAACAGCAAAAAGAAAGGAACAGAACAGAAAAGTACCTTGGAGAAACTGAAGGATTATCGGATGGCGTTATACGAAACCTGAGAGAATCAGTCTTAAGACATTGATAAGAAGGAAGAGCGGATGACTGAATCTGTACTAGAATAATGGAACCCAGATGTCATAATAATTCCTTGCTTAGTTCTTACCAAGGAAAACCAAAAACCAGAAGGCAAGAAAGTAGGATGTTGAGGAGATAGCACTAGCTCCTAGAACTTGGTCTTCAATCACCGTTCAAGCACCAAATCAGGCCCTTTTTTGAAGCCAACCCTCGGAGAGAGAGAGAGAGAGGGAGAGAGGGAGAGATTGGCTTGTATGAGAAGAGCATTGAAAGGCATGTATATAAGTGGGGATTACAAAGAGAGGTTGGTGATGATAGGAGAAGGGTGCTAACGGTTAGGCAATGGCTCATCACTTTCGCAAGTTAAGGTTGACGGCCACTTGAAGCAAGGACTACCCGTCATCCGTGGTCGATGACTCTCTCTAGTAGACTCTCTCGTGAATGAGGTAAGAGTTCTTCTTCATACGACATAGCCACTCCTCTCTCACCGAAGTTATACTCGTCTTCCCTCCAATTTGCCTCTGTTGGATTGTAACCCATGGAGTCAAGTTCACTCTCTCTCTCTCTCTCGGTCTGGACTGGTCAAAATGGCAGATTCCACAAGGAATAACAGCTTGCGTTGCAGAAAATGATGACGAGTTGAAAGTTAAATTGATGGTGCCGAATGAGACTTATTGTACTTATATTCCGAGCTCCCACAAATGCACATGCACACAAGTGTTCACTATACTTTAGTTTAAATTATGAGTTTGAGGGTAAATGATCTTGGATCGATATTGGCAGCGTGGATCAAGTCCTCCTTACTTCTAAAACTCAAAGAGACAACGGCAAGGAGAGCCCCGTTCTTACTTTTCGCGCGACGTTCACGCTCGAACATCATGTCAGATGTATCAGGCGCTTTTCTCACGATCATTGTGTGTTTGGAAGGTGTAGGTGCAATCTTTTCAAAGAAATCAAACTGACCATGTTTTTTTCGTGTAACAAGATATCGCAACCGGGCTGTCCGGATCAAAATTAGGTGCGTTTGCAGTGTGTGCGTCGTTTTCCTCCGAAAGGGTATTCAAGATTAAGCTTGAAAATGGTTTTAGAAGTCGGCAAATGTTTATTTACAGCTGAGATGTCTTGAACCGGCCGCTGCTAAATATTGAACAAATCTTGGCAGACAAGACAGGAAGGTGAAATGTAGGTGTCTCTCCATGAGAGGCCTTCTGACTATCTGCAAAAGCAAGCAAAGGGCTCTCTCTCTCTCTCCAACCAGACAGAATTAGTGTTGGGTGAAGAACCTTCTATTTCACTTCAACAAATTCATAATTTTTTAATAGAATAAATACACTGAAATTTTTAAAATTTATCATAAAAGTACAATTAAATATTAAAAAATGTAATTAAATTCCCGTTGATTCCGTTCAACTTAACTAACAAAAAAATGTCGATATGACTTTTTTTTAATTATTTTTTTCTCTTATGTGGTCAGTGGCTTTTTATTATTATTACCAAGCATAAAGGGGACACAGAAGTTGCAATGATTCTTCATTTATCACCAATTGACAGAAGAGATGTCAATGTCCTGATCAACGCTCGATATCTGACACTAGGAATCTTGGCAGACAAATCAATGAAACTATAATCCTTCTTTCTCCATCTTTACTGCTGCACAGGGACCAAAGCGGAGGAATGAATTTAAAATTCTTGAAAGTGTGACTATGTGTAGACGCTCTCCACATGCTTTGACCTCTTCTGATAAAGAATTCCTGTACACCGTTTGTTAAAATGTGTATTCGTACACCTATTAGCTCCCAACAGCTGACTCATCGAAAAGAAAAACGAAAAAACCAGAAACGAGGACTGCGTTTTTTATCAAATAAAAAGATAGATATTTATATTGAATTTCACGAGTGAAGGGAAGTGTTCACCGGAAATTGGCAAATGCACAAAACTTCGCGAGTAAAATGAGCTGTTGGAAAATTTCTGACCATGCGGGTTTGTTTGACTAGCAAAGACTGCACAAAATTAACCTGGTAAAGCCCTCTATACAGATAAAAATAATGCAAAAAATAGAAATGCAAAATTTCTGTATATTTCGATATATCACATTGAGGAGTATATGAACCTATTTATCAGCTTTACTGGATGACTATCTAAAGTAACAAAATATTACAATATCAATTACAATTAATCGGGATTAATGAAGGAAGACAATGCACAATTATGAGAGATATACGAAATTAAGATATTATCTCTAATGTCCCTCTCAAATTCAGGGTGACATGAAGAAGTTTAGTGGAGTTCGAAGAAAAGATCTTTATTTAAAATGCTCAAGTAGATATGTTTTAGTGAAGATATCGATAGTCTGATCAACAGATAAGTTGAATACGAGTTGTACGGTGTCATGATGCACAAGTACCGATTGAAATGGCAATAGATTCTAATGTGTTTGGTGTGCTTTGGAAAACATCATTGTGCTACTGGGATAGCACTCCAATTGTCGCAGTAAATAACGATTCCCCCATCGTGACATACTCTTATGTCTTCCAATAATCATCGCAATGCGATATTTTGCTTTCGAACTAGAGTGAGCGACATGATTTGTTTCTTGCTGCGCCATGAAATAAGAGAGTTACCAAGGAAAAAACAATAGCCTATAGTGGAGCGACGAGCCTGAGGGTTACCAATCTAGTCAACATTAAAACAAGCTATCAACTCCAAGGTAGAATGAGCAAAAAAGTAAATAGCATGAAATAAGGTATATTTGACAAAGCAAAGAAGATGAAGGATCGTGGAGAAATGAGTCGTTCGGGGCTCTTTCATTTATCGGTTAACACGAGTAAAATATTAAGATGCCACCTACTAACTTTTACAGAAAATCTGTTTTTGAATCATTGTCAAGTGTTATCTATATACGGTATCGTTATCATTAGTGGTTAATGATGAATCTTACTATCTTCGAAGGAAGAGTTACATTTCTTTTCCATTTCCATCTAGGAGAGCTAAGTAGTCTTTCTAAAATATGGAAAGGTGTCTATAACTTCCCCGCCGGGATCTACCCCTTTCCTTTCCGCAGGAGGCTGGAACTCGGATTGGAGAAAAATGAGATCCATGGGTTCTTTCTTGCCCCTTATACCCTGGGCGATCCGCGTGCTATAATTACTGAACCCCTCGTGCTGAATATTAGTCATTATTCATGCCAATTAAACCACAAAATACAATGACACCTCATGGACTTTGGCAGACAGCTTGCTTCACATTCCACAACGTAGTATGGTGAGTAAAGAACACTACCTAAGCCTAGCCAGCCATAGATTGTTAACCAGACATACAATACGAGATATCTCAAGAACAAATCACCCACTCCTTTTTGACAAATGAAAAAATAGAGGCTCCTCTGATCGATAAATAAGAGATATGACAACCCAAAAAAAGGCCGGTGCCTCGCCAATTCAGTATTTCTTTTCCCCCTTGTTGGCAACAAGAGAGGCGAAGTTCTGCTCTACTTGAAAACTGTCTGTACAAAATCACAACGTGGCTCTCAAAAGTGCGACCGCCTTGGTTCACGAAAAAACCACATGGCTTTATGAACCTCTTCAAACAGATCTGATGTGCGGTTGTAAGACATGTACACAATTCCCGTCCGGAAAGGACAGAAATAGAGGGAGTGCCGACATTAGTTCTTCTCAATCTGAGCTAAGTATGCCTTGTCTGCATCTGTGAGGCGATTCTGGAACAAGGCCCACTCGCTTCTGCATCTTGCTCTGACCTGAAAGAAATAAAGAAATGGCAACAAATGAGCAATCGGACATCGAAATTTGTTTATTTCAGCGCATCCTTGGGACTGGTCGAATGAGCAACTAAGATATATAACTGCAGGATATGAGAAGATGAACAGCAATCCTAAAGAATACGTACTCCTTCCCATGGAGCTTTCCCTTTCTCCGACTCTCCCTGCAATTTGACATAGTAATGTATCAGCCAATCAGGGTTTTAGTGTTAAAGAAAAATACGTGGACATATTAGAATTAATATTTTATAATAGAGGGAATTGAAAATAGGAATCAACGAGAGATGACAACGAAAACAGCAAAAAGAAGAGCAAGCCCCAAGCCTCCCACCATATAATCTTCACACAATTAGTAGTCATTTAAAGGGCCACTACATGACCAACCCGACACTAGAATTAATTTAGCCAACACGGCCTATTGATTTCCGAGGTACCATTGCCCCAAAGGTCATAACATAAATAAGACTTAAAGAATCAACAGTTCACCATATCTAGAAGCTAAAAGTGAAATTATACGCCCTTTCGCATTATGTCCATCATGTAAGGCAAGAGGATAGTATCGACGGTACTGATATGTAAAAACAGCATCAGGAAGTTGATATCAAGTAGCATTAAGCCAAAGCTCACAATAGTTTAATTGTCAATCGTTGGGGTTCCAGATGTCATTTCTTACATCAAAATCTGTTTTTCGAGCAAGCACTTGCATGCAAGTATTAAAGCCCCTTTCAAAAGATTGGGTGAAAACAGATATTATAATGGTCCGCCGGACTTCAATCTTCTCCCGGGTACCGTGCAGGAAGTGAAGCACATGAAACCATAACCGCGCTATACTGATGAACTACTTACCTGACTGCCCAGGGAAGGAATTACTTGGTGAACAATCCATTGAGAATCAACAACACCAATCTTCTCGTGAGCAGGCTGCAGAAACAAAAAAAAAGTTTTTACAACTCAGTATAAGCACAGGGAGACAACACAAAAGATAAGTATGAATGGGAAAATGCACGTTAGCTTTCCATGGACCACATTACTCTCAATGGCCACATAAGGATATAGAGCACCTTGGAAGAGGTTCGTCGAAACAGTTCTCTTCACTCACTCACAATTAAAAACTCTAAAAAAACTATTTCATAAGCTGTTTTAAGCCCTTCTTTCATTATTTTCCATTGATATAACTCTTCCCATACTACACCTATTTGGTCAGGTTGCGAGACACATTCAAATTCAATATAAGTCCTCAAAATGGAACTAAAGAAAACAAAAAAATTATGGGGGAAGAGGGTGGGGGTCAAACAAACTTTCTTGAATAACAAACTTATTAAATTAAGAAAATTAAGCTAATAACTAAATAAATAAAATATAAATATAAATGTATTTCAAGTTGAATAAAAAAAGAATATTCAAAATAACAACTATTTTCATAATATTTATTCCTATTTTTATTTATATATTTTAATTTCTTTCTATTCTAAAAT